TAGGATCCACGCCAATACAATCTGGTCTTGCCACCACTCGGTGCAGATCTGTAAAGGAATTTCCAGTTTATAGAAAATCAAAAAGGAATATCTACTTTTTTGGGAATTATTTATGGAAATACAAGGAGGATTTTCTGACAAACTGGAGATTCAAGGAGGAATTTCCAGATTCTTGAAAATTATTTATGGAAATTTAACGACAATTTTCTAGATTGTTGGGAATTCGATTCGAATTCGGTCCAAAAATGTTTTTAGGGAGAGGCTAGACCCCCTGCTCACCCTCCCCCGATCAGGAAGCCTTTGTCATACACAATGATATTCAACATTTAAAAACGAAACTAACAAAAAATAAGAGTAGAAGAACGAAGGTTTTCTGGAGATCTTATGAAGACGTGCTGATGACCATCAGATTCTTTGTAACAAGTTACCCTTAGTCCACAAATTTTAGCCTATCAAATCGTTTCTGTGCAGCGTTCTCGCATAGTGATAAACTCTCAACATACAAAGACGACATCTTCAGAGCGCCTTTTCTTGTGCTTCGTTATTCACTAATGAAAAAATCCATCAAACCGCTGTTGGAGGTAAATCTAGGATCCTTACTGACGAATTTTTGAAACAGATCAGTCGTTTACCTGAAGCTGATCATGATGATCCTTTTTACTATCAATTTTTCCATCTGGATTTAATTGAACTGTAACTAGATTCAAAGTTAACGTCATCATCCTGTACCTCGTTCTTAACGTTATATCTTACAGCCATGCATACAATAGTTACTCAGTAATTACCTTGTTACTGTTCTTTTAAATTTTTGGGGGAGTACGCACCCCCCCGCCACACACACCCAAAATTCAGGTCTCTGATTGACAGAGACATTTAGAAGAATTATACATTGTATTCTAGTGAGACGAAGAGATATCTTTTAAAACTTACAAATATTACAATTAAGCAATTGACCCAAATACACACGGTCTGATATTACTGAGCAAAAATATCTGGTAATAGGTGACGCTTAAATGTTTTCATATTCGGGCCAGGAGATGATTCAGCTAAAATATGATATTTTAGTCGCTCGAACCTGTTGCTAATTGTGATGAAGATCCATTCACTTATTTAAAGATAAGTGGATAAAATGATTATCGAGTAAATAGAAAGTTTTAGCTTGCTAGACTAATTCTGATAGACTGGACTAGTAAGAGCATATAACGAATATGAATCCTAATTCTCAGTACTGAAGGCGATTAGCGCCGCGAGTCGCTAAATCATTTTCTAGCAGGGTCGCGTAATATTTGCTGTAGGACTTGTGATATACGACATGTGATTTTGAAAATCGATCTAAAAGGTTGTTTTGTCAAGCGGTGCTTCAGAGAGTGATCCTATAATTTCGTAATTTGAGCTTGATCACTATAAGAAAAACCTATCGTACTGCAATCTTAAATTACGAACTTTTTAGCATAAGACTACATCGCTATCGCATATCATCAGAAACGGATTAAGAAAGCGGACTTTAAAGTATATCCAGAATTAGATTCTTTTCTGCCCAACCGAAGGGCAAACCATTGATTTTAGTAAGAAAAATGACGCTACAGTCAACGGTTTGTCCCCTTGGTTGGCAACTCTGCCCAGAACACAGATAGAATAAAAATTGGGTTGTTCGTTCAGCCTGCTCATACCTATGCCACCAAAACCAAAAACGTTTTTGCGTTAATCAAGTGATTACCGCAAAAAAGAATGCAAAAGCATAAGAGGCGTAACGCAAAAAATGGTTACAGATACGATATTCTGCAAAATTTTGTATATTCTTCTAGAACAAAATATTTACAAAATTTTGTATTAGTTCGACTAATGCCGAATTTTGTAAATATTTTGTTTTAGAAGAATATACAGAATTCGCATTTGTAACCATTTTTTGCGTTACGCCACTTGTGTTTCTGCATTTCTTTTGCGTGGCCACGCAAAAAAACTTTTGCTATTTCAACACGGGTAGTGATGCCTTGGATAGCCAGAAACAGAGAAAAATAAACAGGAATGCGTCAATGGATCTTCTAGCGTTCAACTTGATGCAATATTGTATTACATGGTATGTGTAAAGTAAAATCCATGCCATTCCTAGAATCTATCTCATGGCAGTGACCGATTCAGGATTCTACCGAAGGGGTGGCGATTTCTAAAAGATGCCGTCCGAGGTAGTATGAATATTTTTTCTAAGGAAGTCTGGTAGTGTACTTGCATTAGAATTCCATTTGCGAGGGAGCGGTGGTCGCCGAGCCACTGTAGTGCTAGATCCGCCACTGTCTCGGGGGTATTAGCTGACTTGATGAACAGACAGCTCACTATTTTGTTTTAAGTTCTTAAATACACAAAATGGAGAAATGTTTATCGAGAAAAATGTTTTCTACAGCATTGCAAGAAAAATAGAATAAACATGTGAATAAAACAAGAATTATCTGGCAGATATGTGCAAGTCTGCAATACGAAATTTAGGCAACAGGTTTCTGTAGAACTGCCATCTAAAGTTTGGAATCTTTCGACAGGTATGAGCAAACTCACGAGAATCGACAGACTCGTGCAGACCTGCAACAATACAATAAATAAGCTAAACAGTTTTCTTGCTGTCGATAATCTTATTGTATTGGTGTTCTAAGTGTGCGTCAATTAGCAACGTTTAGTATAACAATGATCCAGACAGACCAGAGCTGGAATCGCTCCGATCCAGTTGAAAAGTCCGAACGGTCGGCTAAGACCAATTTTTCGCCGATTGGACTTGAGAAAAATTTTGCTTGATTTAGAGGCTTTTTTTTATAACACAATGTTTTCACATGTGATTTTTCGTAGAAAATTACTTATTATATGTTTCTTTAAAAACTACATGGGTGTTCCGTGAAATTTCTCCCACTTTGTGCAGAAAATTATTTTGACAAAACTTTTGGGGTGGATAGAACTACTTCTGATGATCACGTGCATATCGGAAAAGGATATCGTATTTTTACTCCTATCTGAGCTATGAGGCACATTTTATGATCAGGTTTAAAATTTGCCTCCTCTATGAGATGCCTTTTATTTTCTCGCTTTAATGTTCTTAATCAACCCTGAGTTTATTTTCATCAGCCTGCTCAGCTTACTTGTCTTGATATTCAGCTTCAAAGCAGCGACTCCTCATTGAGATTTGACGCCGGTAGATGATGGCTTGATGGTTATGTTGTTCGTCACGTACTTCAAAGTTATTGTGTTCGAACCTCGGCGCCAGCAAAGTCATGTAATAACCTTGGGCAGGTTACTTATGTCTCAGTGCCTCGGATCACTCGTCTGACAGTATACTCGCTACGTTGTGACGTACAATACAGCTTCTTCGACTAGTCCTTGTGGCTTTCCGAAAGCTTGTACGTGGTTAGTGAAATGTGTATGGGAAGCTCAAGTAATTGGGCGAAAGAACTCTGCGTCAGGTTGGCCTTCTGTCCAGAGCTCTGGTTGATGAATAGTAACGAGATGGGTGACCAATTCAGAAGCTTGTCAACTGCAGGGAGGATATCGGGCTATTGAAACTACCATTCGGCAGCACCCTACACCGGTAATGGTAACCGCAAGGCGGGATATTCTTCCTTCTTCCTAATCTGTTCTCTCTACCTAATGGTATAATTCCTACTTATCATATGTTTGTGAAATTTCTTTATGATCTCAAGGAAAACTTGAGTTTTTCACCGATTTGGCTTCCAAAACCAACCCGTCCGGTTATACTTTTTTCAATCTGTTCCACTTCTGAGACACACTCAGTGGTAAATCTATTAGCATTTAAATCTTGCTTGCTTAAATTGATGAACCTGAACGCATTCAGAGTTAGATAAAAGGACAAAGAAAATCGTTTCATTATTCATCAATAATTTTTTCATAGCCTCAGATTTTCGTCATTTTCTCTTCCTTATCTAGTAATCAACTTCGATGGTATGATAAATCCAACTCTATAGAAGGTCAGGTTTATTGAAAACTACTTTTGGTAGAAAAAGAAAATGACTGTTTGCTGCAGGTATTTAGATGACACAATGTAATAATTAAATAATTGATTATCCGAGTGTTACAGTCACTTTATGTCGACAGTGCAGATGTGGGCAAGTCCAAGTCCAGACTTGAAGCTTTTTTGAAGTACTTGGACTTGAGGATTTTTTATCAAGACCTGTTTAGATTCAAGGAGTTGAATTCTATTACATTCAACAACGGAATGAGTAGAATCTGATACCTAATTTATTGATCCTTTTGTTGTCAAACATGCATCAATGTAAGGTTCTGGAAATTCAAAAATGGAGCAGGATTTTATTTTTCGATTTTTTCATCATAGTTGGATAGAGCGCACGATGTTACATAGACAAAGTAAAGTTCATAATTTTAGAATACATTTTTCAATTAGAAAAATTTCATATACTAGTAAACCAATGCATGCTAACCAAGAGTAAAATACCGAATTTTGAGTTCTATTGAAAATTTTGCTTATTTTCATCCATTTTTGAAAACTAGTATTTGAAAGTTTTCTAATCGAAAAATGTGCTCTAAAATTATGAAATTTACTACTGCTCTATCCAACTGTGATGAAAAAATCGAAAAATAAAATCCTGTTCCATTTTTGAATTGCCGGCACCTTATGAATAAAATTTGTTTACCCGTCATATATAATTATGGCGTACTGTATAGTGCATAAATTGCTATGAAGCTTCGACTCGAACTTGGAGTTGGACTTGACAAAAAAAACTCCTGTTGGACTTGGAAATGGTCAGACTTGCCCACCTCTGAGACAATGACATCTTGTTGGCTGCTCTTCTCATTTTTTATTGATTTTTACATTCTCTTTTTGAAAATAAACTTTGCTTTCTACTTTTTAAGATGTTTTTTTTATTCAAACCTACACAAACAAAAACTTAAGATATATCACCATCGAATGAAGCTTTTTTTTACTGTACATAACTTTGGAAACAATTTTTAATCATTAATATTTGTTTTTAGATCTACCATACCGAATGGCAACGTTCGTTTCAAATGATGTCGATATACCACCATTGAATAATAATGATAATATAAAAATCGTCGATGTTGATGATCGTTTTTTGGATATGTCTCAACATTTATATTATCAATATCACAGTGTTTCTCATATCATTCCATCAACCATTTCAAGGTCGAGAGGCACATTATCCTCATTTAATGGTGGAAGTAGTTATACTCGTAAAAATAAACTTCGTGCACGTCTGCACCATCTTGTTAACGGAAATAATGGCGTTTATAAAAATCCAAAACGTTCGTTAACTGTCGCCAGTGGCTCAAATTTATCTGTACCTGCACCATCTTTAACAACAAAAATTTATTTAAAACAACAAAATTATAATAAGAATAATAATACGAATCAAAAAGTAACTTCAGCTAATGTCGATTTAACATCATCACTTGTTGTCGAGCAGACTCCTATAAATTCAAAACAATTTGACCAAGTACAGCCTGTACATTTAATCTCGACATTTCAACTATCGACAGTACATTATCAACATCAGAATCAACATCAAATAGAAAATTCAAATAACGGAGATCGAGAAAGTGAGAGTGATCAAACTGACGATGAACAAGAAGTGACGATAACGAGATTGTAAAAATGATTAAATTTTTGTGTGTTTTAAGTATTATCCGTCCATTCAGAATGAGCAAAATGCTCTCTAATTTTGAACCTGTGTAGAAAAATCCACTTTTTCTTTCAAGAAACTGTATGTTCTAATAGTAAAAATATTATGTAAATGCCATCTCTGATAACAGATGGTGAAGTAAGCGTAAGTTATAGAGAGCTTGTATACACACTGAAAATCGAATGAATGTAGTTGATCTTGTTATTGTGATGTCAATGCAAATCTAGTTTAGTGTCCGCCATGAACCTCCTCCTAATAAAAGATGTTTTATTTTATTTCGTAAATTAATTATTAGTTTATTAGTTTGTGTTAAAGAACCATTGCATTTTTATTATTATTGTTATTTTTTATTTTTTGTTGCTGCATGAACAAAACATATTTAGTATTTGTTAAAACAGTGTGCATTTCTTTTTCTCTACTCTGTTGCTGCAATAATTTAATAGATTTTAATTTCGTTTCTTGGTGCTTGATTCAATTCATTCCGTTTTTCTGTGTGAAGAAATCATCTATTCCATTTATTAATTACTTTTTCCTTTCGTACATACACACATAAAATATTGTAAATGTATTTTGTTTTCCCTAATTATTTAAGTCTTTTCTTCATTTATTTATTTGTTGATAATACCAATGTCTTTCATTCGTTTTCTCTCATTTTTTTATTACTGCTACATGAACTACAATTATGAGTATAATTTCAAAGAAATATTACTTGTTTTATATCTTTGACACATTTTTACATAAAAACAATGATCCATAAATTTTACAGTGTCTTCGTGAAACATTTTTTCATAGAAAGTAAGTACCATAGAAAAGTATAGTAGTTGACAAAAACTACTTACATATCTTAATAAAAACTGCTCTCCGGAGATTTTAAATTTTTATGTCAGTTACTGTCCCGCATAAGTATACTCAAATTCATCATAGTCAAAAATTTCTATATTATAATTCTCAGTCTCTAATGCAACATTTCGAAGAATAGTTTTTTAATTTGAAATATTACTATTGCTGGGCTAACTTTACGCTGTTTCGATCATTATTATATGATCTGTCGATTTTCATTGTATAGTACAGTTATCCACCAAAAGCATTTAAAATCTAACGCTTACTTTCGTAAATGTCATCTGGAACATGGACCTTCCCAAATCACGAGACATGATTTTAAGAGTTCTATGAGAAACCGGACTAGCGACTTAGTCGGAGCTGTGAAACGTTCTTATATTCCTCACTCGCAAGAGGATACAAAGTTAAATAATCTGATAAGCGAGTAAGATTTTCGCTATTGACGTTTCGAAAAAATTCTTATTCCTTATCTTTCTATGTTCTTGTTAAACAAAAGATGCGACGAACAGCACTCAATTAATGTGAAATTAAGGTAAGACGTGTTAACTCTAGTTATAACTTTCAAATCGACTTTTTGTCCAAAACTGTTAACTTTTAACGTTTAATATATACTTTTACACTCTACAGTGTATATTTCGTGGTGCTGTTCTTTTAACCAAAATGTTAAAATTTCAAGAGCAGTTATTTGAACTTGATAAAATTTTATCAGACACGAAATACACCACAGTTATCCAATGTTTTCTATAATTAATTCTCCTAAATAATCTTTTGCCATTTTCATCAAGAGATGAATAATACTATATACTTCAGAACTGTTGAATTATTTTTTCTCATGAATTTAAATAAATAACAAATTTTGAAAAACTATTTTTAGAATTTGATCTGTCATAAACAGAATAACAATAACCAATAATAAAATATGACCATGTATTTCTTTCATTCAATGCGTCTCTGTTTAAAGGGTCTGTTTACCTCGAATGATTGAGATAAAGGTGAAGTGTTTATTGCTGTTTGAAAGAAAAGAAAACAGAGACAATTTACTAATAACTAAAATACACAAAAATACGAAATTTTTTTTTCCATTCTTTAGTGAGTTACTATTAAAACTAGTTATGACGATGCCATCTTAATGAAATATTCATTTATCATTTTTATCGGCATTTGCACCAGAGCTGATCATCTGATAATTTTTGACTCATGCGTGGTCACTGTGCAGGGACAAAATAAAATGTACCCGCGCTGCAGTTTACAAGTTAGAAAAAAAATCTTTTGTCCTGCACAGGCAGAGAGTGTGAGTAAAAACTTCAGCGCTGCCCTGCAGATGAATCCTAAGACGATGTATAACAATTTTTTTTCCTACTGACCACTATCAGTCTGTATTACACACTGATAGTTATAGACTCTATCGCCAGTTACAATTCACTATTCTTGTTCTATCATTTTCCATTTGTATTATATTATAGTCTTTTATCATCTTCTTTGACTATACGCAAAAAGAAACATGTTAAATACAACAAGAGCGAAATTCATTGTTTTCTTTATTTTCTATTTTTCGTTTCTCTCTTTCGTTTTAAAATGTCTAGTAGACCTAGTACAAAAAAACTGTTAGTTTCTTTTTCTTAAGAGACCATTCTGATTTTCAGTGTGAACAACATTTCTCTTGGTCTCCTCTCTCTTTTTATTCCCCACACAAAAACGTCTTTCCCTGCAGGGAGTGCAGACAGGAAAACATCCACCTTCAGCTGCCGACCATCAGTGGAAAATTTTTTCATTCATCTGCAAACTGCAACCTGTCTGCAGTTTTCAGTCAGTTTAAAATGCAGATGATCAGCTCTAATTTGCATGCAAAAGTTTTCATCTTATATCAATAACAACCAGTCTTTCCTAAAAAACAGTCTTACTTTGTTTCTGTTTTGTTCTTATATTTTGTAATTTTAATTGTAAAAAGATAGAAGGAACTATTCGTTTGAATGAATACGCCAAACAATATTTTATCTAAGTTTTGCTGATGTCATGATCTTTGAATAGATACTTTCAGACGTTTCTTTTAATATAAAACAAAAAATGTCAACGAATCAAATTGCCTTCAAAATGAAAATAAAGCCAGGTCATGCTGCTGAATATAAACGTCGACATGATGAAATATGGCCGGAATTATTAGATTTGTTAAAACAACAAAATATTAGTGATTATTCAATTTATTTGGATGAAGAAACATCGATATTATTTGCTGTGCAAAATATAGGATCCACTATATCTTCCTCAAACCAATCTTTAAAGGATAATCCAATAATGAAAAAATGGTGGATATACATGGCTGATATTATGGAAACAAACAGTGACTCATCACCAATATCTGAACCTTTAAAACTTGTCTTTCATATGGATTAGAAATATACCATTTTTCATGTAATTCGCGTACTCTATATTTAATAAATCACAATGCTAATGATATATTTACGACTCTATCTTTTAAAAAAGGTAGGCGTCTACTTAATGGAAATAAATTTGCTTGAACAAGTCGATAACTTGTATGTTATACAGGGTCCTAAATAGTGAGTGAGAGGCAACAATGGAAGTATATGGACTGTATTTCTTTTAAATGTGAAATAGTTAAATTTCGAGTAGCATTTCAATTTGATTGGGTTCTTATTATTCTCCTTCGGCTTACGAACTTTATTGTTACAATTTGAGAAGTTACTATTGACGAAACAGTTCTATGTATGAGTAGTAGAGCAGAACAAGAAAAAAGAAGAGATGACATGTGTAAAGCGTCTCTTCTGAGGATATCTGAATGCACATAACAACAAATTAACAGTAATAATCGATGTCAGTTGAAAGATACTGAAATTGTGTTTTCATATGAGTATCATCCATAAAAAATTGATCAGTTGACTGTTTCTTTCGTTATGATAGTATGAAGAAGACTTTTCTCCGATGAATTTTAAACACTCATCACTAGACGCAGTTTTTTACCTAAATTACGAATATTAACTTTTAAAATTAATGAAAATAAAGTATTCGATACGAAATTTAAATTTCTACATGTTTACACTCACTTTAGTTCTTTAAAAACTTTCGAAAGATATACTGATCAGTAGAGGATTTAATACACATTAATTTTGCTGAATTATAAACATCACAAAATGTATTTTACGAAAGAAACAAACGATCACGATTTTCTGTAGATTTTTCAAAATTTTAATTTTAGGACTGTTTTTGTTTTTGGAATCATTTTCGTCACAGATCAAGCTGTTGTTTTCGTTATTTCCAATCGTGTAGAGAATGGTTGAAAGCACATGTCCACACCTTAAATTTACTTTTGGATAATTTGGTTCAAGTGTAAAATTGATGCTTTAAAATTCATAGTTTTAGTGTTCAATGAATAAGCATATGACAAAAATATTTTTCTTCGTACTTGTATTATTAAAATGCAACTTAGGGAAAATTCTTCGAACTGCCTCAACAGTTTGTATCTTGTCATGAAAATTATTAACGCAGTGTCAAAAATATTTTTTAATTAAAATAAACCATGCGTTTCGAAAATTAAATAAAATCGTAAAGCACTACGCATAAAAGAAAGATAGAAACAAAGTGTAGAATGAAATGTGGAAATCCCCAACTAAATGTCAATTTACACTCCAGAAGATGTGTTTCATCCCTTCTTTGTGCATGTCGGAGAGCTAATGAAATAGTAATGCATTATTTATTAGATTGTTCAACGTATGTTTTAGAAAGAACCGATCTGCCATCCGGTCTGAGCTTCCTGCCTTGTGTGTCGGTGGCTAGTTTATTGGGAGTTCGTAGGAGATGTTTGGGCGAGAGTCAAGTTATTCTAAACGAGATATGCCGATATATACTACGGACAGTGCGATTCTAAGAAGTTTCCGTTTTCTCTCGCTGCCAATACAAGTAGAACAGTAGAAGTGAATATCCAAAAACCCGAACGACCATCTCTTGCGTGAGCTTTCTTTTTCCCTTTTTCTTCCTTTCTCCTTTTAAGCTCATTATACGTTCTTTTTTATACATTTTAAGGCGTACGTAGGGCGAAAGCCGCTTGCGCAATCGTCCTTTTTTCTTTTTCAATAAAAAGCTTAAATAAAAAAAAAAAGTGTAGAATGAAGTTATAGGGATTGTGAGGACTTCTGTTTCCAAGTTATTGACTCTGTTCCAATGTATAAGATACAAAGTACATTTTGTATACTGCTCTTTATTCCACTCCTTTTCAAAGAAGACTACAACAACTACTGAACCTTTGAACCTGATATTTCCCACTCTAATGACAGTCTAAAATTAAAATAAGAAATAAAAATGTGAGATGCATGCTGAAAAATTTGGTAATCAAAAGTACATTTACTCAACACTAGAATGACATTGTCACATTTATTATCAAGAAACCACTAATAAATACTTTTTTACTCAAAATCATGAAAAAAAAAGATAGAATTCCATAATAATTATTATAATTTGAAAACAAAACGGATATTTAGATAGCTTTCAGCTAATTACATCTACAACTTTGAAACAAATTATTTTTTTGTTTTCATCTTGACTGTCAAAAAAGAGTAACATGTATTTTTGATCACCATATTTTCCATCATGCATCTCACATTTTATTACAGACCGTCATTACCATGGGAAATATCAGATTCAGTAGTAGTTATAGTTTCTATATTTTAAAGTTAATATTCGTAATTTAGGTAAAAAAAACTGCGTCTAGTGTTGAACGTTTAAAATTCATCGGAGAAAAGTCTTCTTCATACTATCATAACGAAAGAAACAGTCAACTGATCAATTTTTTATGAATAATACTCATATGAATAAGACAAGTATATTTTTAGTTTAATAGCTCTGGTAAATCGTGTTCGTTAGATATATCAGACCTCTTTGATTATATTAAAGTTTAGTGAACCAGCATTAGTAGAACGAATACTAATACGATTTTAGTATCTTTTAACTGACATCGATTATTACTGTTAATTTGTTGTTATGTGTATTCAGGTATCCTCAGAAGAGACGTTTTACACATGTCATCTCTTCTTTTTCCTTATCATGTTCTACTACTCATAAATAATATAATGTGACGGTTTTTTCTTTTTTTTCGTTTAATACTCGTTGAAATTAATCAGATGAAGAACAGTAAGAAAAACGTATCACAGGTAGGTAAATATATATAGGAAAAAATAAATAATTTTTTTTTAAAGGGTAATACATTCAATGATGTTCAATAAAAAAAATTAATTTTGTAACAGATGTTACTTAGAAATTTTTATCGTAATTAAAATAATATATCAGTAATATTCATTGATATCGCTTGTTTTTAGTCCTAAAATTAGAAGAGAAAGGTAAATGTACTTGATTATAGTTGACAGATGCTACTTACATTGAATTCTTTGTACATAGCAGAGATTGTTCCAACAATTTATCAACAACGGAGTCGATTTGTTTTAATTTGACATACAAAAATATATGAATAAAAGATAAAATGATGGCACTAAACACAATTATAACATATGAGAACTTCAAATCAAACAAAAACATTCTGTGTTATTAATCATATTTAACTTAAGCTTTATTCTTCTAGAATATAAACAGAACCATATTCATTGCTTTAAAAGTTAAACTATCGAAGAATTCAAAATAAAATACAAAATCCTACTAATGACAAAATATTATGTTATTTGAACAATTTCAATCATTCTACAGTATATAGACTAGAAGCAATCAAATTCAGCTTTTGTTTTTTACTGAAAATCCAAGATCATATGTTCGAATTACTATTCGTACAACATTAATTTTAAGTTTTTGAGCGTTAGAATACTATAGTGGATTTATTTTTGTTTTTTCTAGTAAATTAAGCTTAAATCAAATAATAATAATTATATTTCCTTAGCAGATACATGATTTACCTGATAATAAATAACCATACAAGTTTTTCATTCTGAAATAATGATGATGTTTTTGTTTCATCTAATAAAATAAAAGAAGGATAATCTCAGTTAACAAATTATTTAATTTTATACACATATACCAGATGGTTGTGTAATCGGAATAGTTGGTGGAACTAATTCATGTCGACTCATACGTCTTCCTCGAGAAACATTTAACGATTGATCACCACTCATCGATCGACTATTCTGGGTTCCTATCATACAAAACATATCCATGATAGAATTTTTAAAAAGAGAGAATCACTTTGTTTTTTGCTAGTAACCTGTTGCTAATTCATCCACTAAATTGAGTCTATTATCTGAAAAGATAAAAAAATAAATGAAAATATGAAACAAATTATTTAGAAAACACACACTTAAATCTTGGAGTGAAACTTGTATTGCAGCAATGGCATTTTTTTCAATGAGATCTAAACAGAACAGTGATCAATCAAATACATGATGAACAAAAATTTAATTTTCTATTCACTTTTCATAAAGCCAATAACAGTTTTAAGATATCGAACTTCAGCTGTTATTCTTAAATTTGAATGATTAACAGCTGTTTGCACTAGACAATAGCGTAATGCCACATAAAATGTATCACCAAATTTGACTCCCGTATTATATATATCATTATCCACGATATAGTACGAATATTTCTTCTCATTTCGTATGACCTGTAAGAGGCATGTCATTAAATAGATTGAAATTTCAGTAATGTATTTAAATAGAATTAATAGAATATTTGAAAATATTCTCACTTGTTTTTCTGTACTTGATATTGTACTATTTCCTAATACAGATACAAATGGTATTTTGGATGTTACCACACGTTCACGATTCTGTGATTGGGGATTTATGGTCCATTCTGTTGCATGATCATCTAGAAAATAAAATCACTTAACTCATTATAATACGACGTTATTTTTCTTCCTTTTATACCGTATATTCTTTGTGCACTACGATATGTTCGTACAAATTCATTATCTCCAAATATGAGATCAAATAATTTTTCTACAGACAATTGATAATTTCGTTCAACTAATTGTTTATGTAAGTGTGTTTCACACGGACATTTGGCTAAATAACAGTTATTAACAGGTGGTGGTGAAGGAATGCCATTATCTTCTTCATCGCTTTCACTTGAATTCGTTCGACGATTAATGGCTAACGGAGCGACACGTTTCTTTTTTTTTCCTTTTTTTGTTTTACATTTAGTTGTATCTTGCAAGACATTGGAAAATATTTCTGGTGGGACAGGAACATCAGGACATGATGGATCATGATTTGCGTGCTGAAATAATAAGAGAACTTGAGCAGCGCGGTTGGGCTAGTAGATAATCTGACATCATACTTCAAATGTTTTAAAGTTAGAGACATCAGTCAAACGCTATCCTTAACACTGGATCAATTCCTATACACTTCTTATGTATGTCCTAATAAGTTCGTAATAGGCTCTTAGATGTTAGGCTCCTACAGGGAATGTGGAGCGGAATCTGACAGGACTTTTGTTCTTAATGAAGAAGAATAGTTAATAGCAGGTTGAAGTAATAAAACGTATACGAGCTAGTTTTAAATGTGTTTTAGATTTACAAACAAAAATTTAGTAACTCCTGGTCAAATAGGCCGTTTAAAACTCTACTAGGAATTTTTTCTCTCTTTAAGGTTCACTAGCAGGTCGGATTAAGGAGACGAAAACAAAGTAGTTGTCATTATTTGTAAATGTCCCTAAATGAGAATGGATAGAGAAATTTCACTGGAGTTAGGAATATACAGACAATCCTATGAAATTTCTGTGCAAGACTTATACTTCTCTGCTAAAATCCTAAATAATTCCTGCTACATTATGATGCAGTCATCGTATTTTCTTGTTAGAATCCGAATAAGATCCTAACAAAACCTTGGTAAACCCTACTTCTATCCGATATACCTGATTTCTTTAGAATTCTGTAGAATTTTCCTAGGATCCTACAAAAAAGCATGCTAAATCCTAATAGGATACTAACAGGATTTCTCAAGGATCCTATCAGGAAATGTATAGGTTTCTCACTAGGGAAGCCAAGCTATTTATACTCGTTGCCTCAAATTACGACTTATAGGAGAGAGGATATGTACACCATTTACTAGCAATATTATAAGAAAAGCTCATGAATTTATCATTTTTACTAGTCTAGATTTCAAAAAAACATTTCTCGCACGTGAAAGTTTCTGACCTAACGAACTTTAATTGTAAGTTGTTTTTTTTCAAGTTTCAATCGCTAATTAAAAAATATTATTCATACTGTTAATTTTTTATCGCCGTTACGTTTTCTTAACACAGGCATGTCAATTATACGGTGTATATTTATTTAAAATAGAATTTTTGACTTGCCAAATACACATTAGCAGAATGATGGTATCATATTTTTTAAATTGTGATACACAACATAACGACATGAAAAAGCCGTTTTTTTACACTGCAATGCAAGCACATGCGACAGAATATTCTTTTCAACTGAAAAAGCATGCATATGTAGGTGTACTGTGTAGAAAACAAGAAGAAAAACTAATGTAGTTAATTCTTTCCTTTCTCTCTCACTTTCCAATAGCATCAATGAACAGCAAAAATTTTCAACCTAAACATTTTTTTTGAAAAATGAGAACTTTATTTAAATCTATTAATTGAATTGAGGAACAAAAGGAGCATGTACTTAAGAGACAACGCTCTTTAGTATTTTAGTACGTTTTCTTTTTAAAAATAAACCAACACGGAAGTTAAAAATCAAACAATAAACACATCAACTAGACCACAACCACAATGTGTCAGGCAGTCATCTTTTACTGTGAGAAGTAAAAATGTTCTTTCGCTAGAAACTTGTTCGAATCTTATTAAGACCGTAGTCAAATATTTCTGCGATCTATATCTAAGTATATATCGTTTCTTTTTTTTAAGTTTGCTTCATCAAATTTCAGAAATTTGATATTTTTGAAAAAGCTCGGCAGCTTAAAAGCTCGGCAAAGTACGGTGTTCTGTAAAAACTCACGTCATTCGACTCAGTGTTTGATACTGATTCGGAATATGACCTTATTTTTGTCGAAAAGTCCAACCTTGATGGCGAAAATAGCGATTTTTTTTTGGCAGAAATAGCGAACTTTTATTAGACGTGAAATTTCTCAGCGATGAAGCAAAATTAAAAAAAACATGAATGTAAATAAATAATAGAACGTCGAAAAAGACAAAACATTATTGTCTGTAAAAAACCACTGCACTCAGATGTTTTCTGAATAATGTTTGATAGGAAAGTGATAGAGACTTGGCTTCACCAATTGAAAGCCAAGTCTGACCGCATCTTTTCATCATAAAAATCATTTTGAAAATCTTTCTCCACAGTAGGTCTCCTACATTCTCAAAAAAAAATTTCGAGTCTGTACATTTTCGCATTTATACGTAAACGAGCGTGAAACAAAACGATGATTCAATGATTATCAAGATCTTTGTAGAGCACGAGCTTCCGCTAAGGTTAAACATTGAAACATCCCAAATCTTTAAAATTTTCATTTTTAAAAATCTGTTACTTCTGATCGTGTATTTCTACGCAAAGTTTTGGACTTTGTTAGTAAACAGGCATAAAACAAATCATTTGGGATACAGAAATGCCTTTTTCCAGCCTCTGCAAATTGAGAATGTCAATGTCGTTCAATCGTTCGAGGAATATGGACTATGATTTGATCGGAAAGAACAAATACAGAGCATTAGGAAGGGTTTCACAATCAAGAGATTACTGATTTCTCAGTAGAAAAGTGAACAGGCAATAGTCATAGCTGCAGTAAACAGTGGTTATTCTATCCAACTGGTTTTCGTTGCATTTCTTCAATGGCTAAAACTAGTCATACATCAGTAACTTTTCATGGTAAATTTGTAAAGTGAATTGTTTAGAAGTGCTATACTTTCATTCCAGATTTAACATGAATCCAAAATCTGCTCAATATCGATCGATCTTTTTTCACGTGTTAGATACCATGATAGAATAATATATTAACAATTTTTATTGTGAACCAAAATAATCTAAAAAAATATAAAAACGTAATAAAACTCGATCATTATGAAGAGTTGGATTGAGCGTTAAGTGTCGTTGAAACGCGTCAATCTAATTCGACCAAAATTTTTTTATCAAACTTCTCGCATCAAATCATACGCAAAAAGAATTGGTGCTTTCTGTAATGCAAATCGAGTCAAACTACTGCTAGCCGTTTAAGTTTTAAGAGTTTAAAAGTTTAAATCCTAGTCGTTTTTGGAGTTCAGATAAATATGAATAAATTTCGTTCAGATAAAACTAGTATTCCAAAACCGGTTATAGACAAGTTGAACCGATTCTTCTTCTGGTAAGAAATTGTGCGAAATATCCAATACACAAATCATCGAAGTCAAATATGTTCAAATTAAGAATGGAGCACCAGATCATTTATCAAGACACGCATGGTTAATCAAACATCCAACCGACTCCACAACAGTTGATCCAACATTAAATTTGATTTATAATCGTTCCCTTCATTCTCAAAGTCCCTTTTTAACGGGTCTAAACTATACAATGGCATCTATTATCACACGATCACGAGCCAACTAACAGCAGCGGATACGAACCAACCACCCTACATCAATACCACAAATTCCTCAAGTGCTAACAAGCAATCAAACAAAATCATTATTGGATTTCACATTACGAAAAATCAAACAAGGGCTAACAGTTTTCCTCAAAACCGTTTAGTCAAAAATGCCCCATATCAAATTTACTACAATACGTCCAACTCATACTTCATAATTTGAAACCATATAAGATGTTAACAATAAAATTTTATTAACAATTAAATACACAATCAGAAACTACAGATAATGTACTATATTGTGTGCTTACGAATAGGGTGTATACTCAAGTTAAGATTGCACAAAGTTAAAGACTAAACGGTTTTGAGGAAAAGTCTTATAGCTCTTGTTCTTAACAAGACATAAAGGTCTAACAAAAGCCAATTATCATCTTTATACGTGTACTCTAATTGCAAAAAAGCATTATTAGAATATTCTACAGTAATGCTCAAAATTATAAGAAGAGGGGTTCGAATGAACTTGTGTTCCATAATTTTTTGTTCTTTCTGGCTCTTAACGCATCATTTCAACGTGACAGGGCAAAGTTAAGTGTTCGCTTTCCGAATATGACGCTGAAAATCGTTGAAAATATTTTCTTCACGTTGAAAAAAGAGCTTTACGAAAACCACCTAGTTCTGGGCTTCTCAAAACTATAAGAACAAACGTTACAAAGTCGCTTTTTTGGATATGTACTTGGTTTTAAACACCACCAATTCGCCTATGTAATGGCATTACATAGACGACTTCATCAAAAATGCTGATTACGCTAGGCTTGGATACCCCAAACAAATTAGCGATCGTACGATACTCGGCTGTTGATGCCATTGTGTATAATGCAATAGCTAATCGTTTAGGTGCTGATATTGCTGGACGCAGTTTTGTGTCTTGCTTTGTCATATTCATACCGACTGCTGTCAACAAATATTGAAATACTTGTTTACTCACACGGAAATTTTTCTTGAAAGCACCATCATCGAATTTTTGAACCTCGATTTCAAAAAACTCTTTGTTTCTCTGACATTGCCAAACAGATCATTCGGCTTTTGTGAAAGAATTCACCAACGGAAGAAATAATAGCAGCATATCGGGACTCGGCACATGTTCTTTTCTGTGTTTTCTTTTTGCCGTAAACACTTTTCTTTGTTTAATAACATTTAGTAAAGTCACAGTGTTCATCGTTCAATTAACTGACAGAAAAATGAGCCGATTTTAGAGCATTTTCCGTATTTATTTGCTGTTCTTAATCACGATTAGCCTTTAATCATGATTAGCGCGGTCACATTGTTTATTTAACCGTGATTAAAATAGTGTTAATCATGATTAAAAAGGATGTACTCGCACTACAAAATCGTTAATCATGATTAATTTTAATCGCGATTAAGGCTGTAGTGTGACCCTAGTCTTAGTGACCCTGTAATAGATTGATAAAGAATGAATTTATAAGGTCAACAGCATCAATTACAGATGTGTAAATATGAATCGGTGACGAATTACCTCGTAACCTGATATGTTCTCTTCTAACTCTAGTAACAATATAATTATTTTAGTAGGATAGTAAGAAATATTTCTCAAAGACATTCGCGTATAAAAAGAGACAATTCAAATACAGGAACGTAAAAATGCAACAAACAATTTATCTTAACGTCAATGAATTCTTATGTAGCGATCTTGATGAAAACTTTGAGAAAGATTCAATTATTACTTCTAAGCAGCTTCAATCTAAGACTTCTTCAAGTTCTTTCATGTATTTCTCAATTAAGGTTCTACATATAACTGGCATTCGATCTCAAAATAAAAGTGAAGATGATTGATGTTTTGTGGTTCACGTGTGAATATTACCGATAAGGTAACGTTTGCCGTATGTGAAAACATTCACGCCTGGACTGTCAGAGAATGTATACCCGTAAATATTATCGCTAGGATCAGTTCGTTATTAGAGCCAATCTAATATTGTGTGAATGAGGCGGAATGGCTGAGCCCCAATCCTTTGTACGTCGAACAGAACCGAACTGATCGTTGCCACATCCTGAAAGTCACTAACAGCAAAGCGATCTTACACTGAGAATACTCACAATTGTTATAAAAAACATCAATCCTGGATGCATTTCTCACTTCTGTGCATTTTTATTTTGAAATCTTTGCACACTAAACGTTGATTGAGCCTATACATCGAGAAAATTCTTAGATTTCATCATTTAACTGTGCGAGAGTAAAGTAGACAGGATTTCTGTCCCTATTCTCTCACTCACTGGCACTACCGTGTACTTACTCTATAAATTAGTTATTTTTAGATTTAATTCTACTTCAAAAATGTTAAAAAGGAAATATAAACTGCAAATAATTCGAATATAATAAAAATGGTCTCAAGACCATTGCAAGAAATAAGTACCTTATATACGAGACATGGTTTTCTCGTCCCGTTTAAAATGAGAAGAATAAATAGAGCCGTAGGAAATAAGCAATGTTAACATTACTTATTTGCTACGGCTCTAATGTTATATATTGGGTACATAAATTCTTTGACGTTGATAAACGTTAGAAATATAACAAATAGCCTAAATACATATACATAGCAACAAATACACGTGTATCTTTCACAAGAAGCCGTGCTCTTTCTATAACCGAAATTGAAATGACCATAAAAAGAAATCGAAGAACGAGTGTAATATTTCTTGGCTCAAGATCTTGAGACAAGAAAGCAAGAAACATTTCTTGCCGCAAGAAGTGTCCCACTTGTTTTTTTCTTGCTTTCTTGCAGCTTCTTGGATCAAGAAGTTCCATTAGGAAAGAAAAATTGTGATTGAAATAGTATTTT